CTAAATTACTATTACATTTATGACTTTACAATGTTTACATAAAAAAAATACACCTTTCTTCTTATAGGCTGAAGAAGAGTTATTTTTTTCATGATGACATTTAAAAACTTTTATACAATCATTCGCTTCAATAACTGTTTGCTGTTACATTAATTCATTCATTTGTTTATTCGTTCATTCATCTGTTCATTCATTCATTCATTCATTCATTCATTCATTCACTCATTCATTCATTCATTCATTTAATCATTCATTCAATCATTCATTTATTCACTCACACATTCATTCATTCGTTCATTCATTCATTCATTCATTCACTCACCCACACATTCATTCATTCATTTCTATAGCAGCAGGGTCAGTCGAACGACATAGTAATAGTCGGTGAAGATCGTGATGATGACGACGACGACGATGATGATGGTGACGATGAGGCAGCCGGCGTGGATGACGTCATAAATGGTGAAAATGATGATGGGGATGGTGACGTTGACAAGTTGAAACCTGATGAAGATAAAAACGGGTTAATATGATATTGATAATATTAATGATGACGACGATGATGATGATGATGACGACGATGATGATGATGATGACGACGATGATGATGATGATGACGACGATGATGATGATGATGATGACGATGATGATGATGATGACGACGATGATGATGATGATGATGACGATGATGATGATGATGACGACGACGATGATGATGATGATGACGATGATGATGATGATGATGACGACGACGATGATGATGATGATGATGACGACGATGATGATGATGATGATGATGATGACGACGATGATGATGATGATGATGACGATGATGATGATGACGACGATGACGATGATGATGATCTCACATACATGATGATGATATAATGATGGTGATGATGATGATTAGTAAGTTGAATTTTCGTTTACATCACTTTGACAGGGTTAATATTACAATGAGGCCAGTAAATAACTGTAAGCTTTTTATATACTTTTACTATACTATAAATAATAATATCATTACTACTACTACTACTAATACTGCTGCTGCTACTATTACTGCTACTACTGCTGCTGCTGCTTTTGTTGTTACTACTACTACTAATAATAATAATAATAATTATAGTTTTATCTTACGAAATTATGATTATAATTATAACGTAATAATAATGTAATTTCGAAATCGCCCACAAACAGCTCAGCCTACTTTTCCGCTATCTCAGTTCGGTTTCTCGCCACATCTACCTCAGCCACAGCAGCAGCAACAGCAGCAACTACAACAACTGCAACTACAACAAAATTACAACAACAGTAACAGTAACATCAATTCAAATGGCAACAACACTAACAACAACAATGGCGTAGACGATGACGTAATGCAGCAACAACAACAACAACAACATCAACAACAACAACAACATCTACAACAACAACATCTACAACAACAACATCTACAACAACAACAACAACAACAACAACAACAACATGTGGATGACCAGCAACAACAAATAGATGACCAACAACAAGATGACCAACAACAACAGCAACATCAGTATGCCCGGCCCAGACGACTGTCTGAAATCATCATTCCAGATGAGATAAAACCCATACCACCGTCGTCATCTCTCTTTATATTCTCGCCTACAAACAAGTTAGTGGTAGAAGTAGAAGCAGTGGCGGCAGAAGCCACAACAGCAGCAGCAGTAGTAGTAGCAGTAGTAGCAGCAGCTATAACAACAACAGCATTTGTAGAAGCAGTAGCAGTAGTTGTAATAACAGATCTAATAAAAGTTGAAGCGTACAATAGTAGTAGTAGTAGCAGCAGTTGTAGTTGCGGTTGTAGCGGCAACAACAGTAGTAGTAGCAGTAGTAGCAGCAGCAGTAATATTATTATAAATATTCAAATTAATATCAAAATAGTTTAGCATATTATTAATAATATAGTTTGAAAGTTAAATGGAAAAATACTTTTCATTCGCCAAGATGTAAATTATTTCCCATTCTACTCCCTAGGTTTCGAGTTTTTTGTCATCACATATGTACACATCAGTACTGGAGTAACTTCATTTTGATTTGCATATTGATAAGTAGTGCTGTATTGGCAGCTGAAGATCCTTTGAGGGCCCATTCTTATAGGAATAAAGTTAGTTGGCTGGCTGGTTGGTTGGCTGGTTGGTTGGCTGGTTGGTTGGTTGGTTGGTTAGTTGGTTGGATGGTTGGTTGGTTGGTTGGTTGGTTGGTTGGTTGGTTAGTTGGCTGGCTGGTTGGTTGGCGTGTTGGTTGGCGGGTTGGTTGGTTAGTTGGATGGTTGCTTGTTTGAAAATCATCCTATTATTCAGTCTTTTAATTACATTTTCAATGATCGTAATAGCCATTATATTAATCATCATCTTAATCATCATCTTAATCATCTCATTTCATTTCTCATTTCGTTGCCAACAGATTCTCCGATATTTTGATTATTTCTTCTCGACCGTTTTCACAATTGAAATCACCATCAAAGTGAGTTACTCGTTTTAAAGTGACGACGACGACGATGATGATGATGATGATGACGATGATGATGATGATGATGATGATCTATAATCAAAATCATCATCAAAGTGACCACCGAAATCTCAACCAAATTCACCACCCAGGATCACCAAAATTATCAAAATCTCAACCAAAATCTCCACCAAAATTACCAAAATCTCCACCAAAATCTTCACCAAAATTACCAAAACCACTAGATCATAGCCAACGGCTTCATCTTACACAAGAACAGCTTCTGTCGCAGCCTCTTCAACCTCCTCGACCTACTTGTGGTTGTCGTCGCTCTTATCTCTTTTGCCGTCGTGTGAGTAATTTATTATTTCATAATTATAATTAATATTATTCATAATTTATTGTAATTGTATTTAATTATAATTGGTTTTTGTGTGATTATTAATTATGGTTGATTGTTGTCAGATATGTGTTTGTTGTTTTTGTTGTTGTGTGTGTGTGTGTGTGAGAGAGTGTGTTGAATTTTTTGATTGTTACATCATCATCACAATCTTCTTCCCAATCAGTATCATCTTGATCACCATCATCAGCATCATTATCATCACCAACATCATCATCATCGTCGTCATTGTCGTCGTCGCTACCATCGCTACCACAGCAACGACAGAATAAGCGCCGTAAAGATATTGCGCGTCTGTCGGGTTTTGAGACCTCTGAGGGCAATCAATAGGGCAAAAGGGTTAAAGGTCATTATATGATGATGACGATGATAATGATGATGATGATGATGATAATGATGATGATGATGATAATGATTATATAATGTTAATCTTGCTTCCATTATCTTTATCATATTCATCACCATCATCATCACAATCATCATCATCGTCGTCTTCATCATCACCATCACAATCATCATCATCGTCTTCATCACAATCATCATCAGCATGTGGTACAGTGTGTAGTTGTGGCTGTTAGGACGATCTACAACATTCTCCTAGTTACATTTTTACTCGAGTTCATGTTTGCAGTCATCGGCGTTCAGCTGTTCAAAGTTAGTGGATTGAAGGAATGAATAAAAGTGTGGGTGAATGAATGAATGAATAAATGGATGGATGGGTGGATAATGAATAGACAAATTATTATTATTATTATTATTATTTTTATTAATTATTATTATTATTGTATTTCAGGGTGCTTTTCACGAGTGCAATGACCACTCGATGATGACGAAAGCTGAATGCAAGTGAGTAAAGCATCACAACCACCATCACCCACATCATCACCACATCATCATCGTCATCACCATCATTATCATCTTCATCATCACCACCCACATCATCATCGTCATCATCACCACATCATCATCGTCATCACCATCATTATCATCATCATCATCATCACTACATCTTCATCGTCAATATCGCTCGCACTACATCTTCATCATCATCATCATCATCATCACCACATCATCATCATCGCAGAGGTCACTTCATAGTGTACAAGCAGGGTGACCTTTCCAAGCCCCATCTGGAGGAACGCATCTGGTCGAACAACAACTTCAACTTTGATGACGTCAGCCAGGGTATGCTTACCCTATTCACCGTGGCCACATTCGAAGGCTGGCCCGAGTTAGTTTCCGGGGTTTTTTTAATTCTTTTCAATCTATCTTCTACATTTTTATCAATTCCTTTTATTTATTCATTCGCTCGCTCGTTCATTCATTTATTCATTCACTCTTTCACTTTTTTACTCTTTCACTTCTTTATTTATTTACCCATCCATCCATCCACTCATCATTCATTCACTGACCAGCTTAATGTATCGGAGTATCGATTCAACTGTTGAGAACAGAGGCCCAATATATAATTACAGACAGGGTATTTTTCGCACTTTCAAATCTTAAATAATAAAAATAATAATTATTATTATTACAACCATAATTAATATTTACAGCCATAATTAATAATTACAACCATAATTAATAATTATAACCATAATTAATAATTATAACCATAATTAATAATTATAACCATAATTAATAATTATAGCCATAATTAATAATTATAACCATAATTAATAATTATTAACAATTATAATATAGGTATCGCCGTATTCTTTTTCATCTACATCATCATCATCGCATTTTTCATGGTGAACATCTTTGTCGGGTTCGTCATCGTCACGTTTCAGAATGAGGGTGAACAGGAGTATAAGAACTGCGAACTTGATAAAAACCAGGTTGGTTGGTTGGTTGGTTGGTTGGCTGGCTGGCTGGCTGGCTGGCTGGCTGGCTGGCTGGCTGGCTGGCTGGCTGGCTGGCTGGCTGGCTGGCTGGCTGGCTGGCTGGTTGGTTGGTTAGATGATTGGCTGTCTGGTTGGTTGATAAATTAAGTGAATGTTTGATTGAGTGAATGATTAGTTGTTTGATTGATTGATTAAATCTAAACCAAAATAATTTTAGCGCAAATGTATCGAGTTCGCCCTGAAAGCCAAACCCCAGCGTAGGTACATTCCGAGGGTACCATTTCAAAATAAAATATGGTGGTTTGTGACGTCACGGGGTTTTGAATACGGCATCTTTGTCCTTATCATGTTGAATACTTTGACGCTTGCTATGAAGGTTGGTTGGTTGGTCGGTCGGTCGGTTGGTTGGTTGGTTAGTTGGTTGGATTGTTGTTGATTAGTTAGTTGGTTGGTTTGTTGGTTATGGTCAACCCTCCCAACCGTATTATTTTTACTATCAGTAGCAGTAGTAGTAGCAGTAGTAGTAGTAGTAGTAGTAGTAGTAGCAGTAGTAGCAGCAGTAGTAGTAGCAGTAGTAGTAGCAGCAGCAGCAGTAGTAGCAGTAGTAGCATCACAATCGTCGTCATCATCACCACCATCCCGGAAACAGTATGCCGACCAATCGGATTTGTACGAAGACGTCCTTGACTACTTCAACATGCTCTTTACCGGAGTCTTCACTGTTGAGTTCATACTGAAGTTGATCGCCTTCAAAATCAAGGTGAGGTTTTGATGATGTTGGTGGTGACGATGATGACGATGACGACTGTGATGATGATGCAACTTGTGAAACAAAAAAATATCAACAACATCATCATCAACAACATCCACATCAACAACAATAACATCGTCAACAACATCATCAACAACAACAACAGCAACAACATCGTCATCATCAACAACATCATCAACAACAACACCATTATCATCGTCGGCAGTTTTATTTCATGGATGCTTGGAACTCGCTTGATTTCGTTGTTGTAATCGGTAGTTTAATTGACGTTTTTGCTAGTAGGATAGTGGTGAGTGAATGAATGAATGCATGAATGCATGAACGAATGAATGAACAAATGAATGAATGAATAGATGAATGAGTGAATGAATGACTAAATAATCTAGTTAAGATTTGAAAGTTCTTTTAACAGAGTTAGAAAAAAAAAACATTAATCACGCTACATAGTCTCAGATAATGATAATTAATATTATACGCACCTTATTATGTTTAGAATTATTATCATTATTATTATTATTTATATTATTATTATTGTTATTTATATTCATGTTCTTAACGTTATATATATATATATATATAACCCATATCATAACCCATGATAATGAGAATCAAAAACTTTACTAAAATACCAGCTTGAATACTAGGTAGAAGTCACCTGATGTATTAATCATTTACTTGCCAAAATTTGGGATTGTCTGAACACTGAATACTGAAATCTGAATACGTCATAGCCACTGGCAACAAACTATCAAGAAGACTAAGAAGACTTACTAAGCGCGCTTAATCTGAAGCTATTATCAGAAACAGCCTGTAAGACGAACAGAAAACTAAACCCACTAGAGACATTCCTGATAACATTATTGAAGTTCTACATTATATTTCATTACATTACATTTCATTACATTATATCTACCAGTTGCTGAAAAAAATTCCATTGAACTAAGACATCTCAGAATAACTTTCCATTAAGCTAAGACATCTCGTTATATTCAACTAACTAGTACTGGTGTCTTTACCATCCCATAAAATTTCAAATCGAATTACAAGTCGACGACACACAAAGAGATGCAAAAAAACTCATAAAACCTTCGCCAACATAGGATCAAAGTAACAGTAACTTACATACGGACATAAACATCACGAGAATTAGCATAGATGAAAGAAATATGAATCCCCCGAAAAAAGCTTTTCTGTTTAAAAGATGCACACAAACTTTGTGTACGAGTTAAATAAACTTAGTAATCAACTGAAACTCATCGTGAGAAATGTTGGAATATTAAATGGAAGATTGTGTAACGCTAAAAGAGCTCTGTGACTTTCTTAAACAACTGAATGAATGAGTGAGTGAATGAATGGATGGATGAGTTAATGAATGAATGGATGTGCATGAATGAATGAATGTATAAATGTTAAAATATATAATAAATAAATAAAATATATAATAAATGTTAAAGTAAATCCGTGTCGCGCTTTTTCCGAAATCATTCAACCACCCAACGGCGCAACATCATCTCATGTGTCTTGGGGGGATGAGTTTTAAGATCTGTTGTACGTCTGTATGTCTGCCTGTTTGTTGTTTGAATGTTTGTATGCTTTTTGGTTGTTTGTATGTTTGTTTGTATGTTTGTTTGTGTGTTTGTATGTTTGCCTGAAAACAGAATTATTTTGGGGACGCTTGGAACGTCTTTGACTTCGTCATTGTTCTCGGATCAATCATTGATATTGTTTACACTGAAGTTAACGTAAGTGCGTGTGTGTGTGCGTGTGTGTGTGTGTATAATTGTACGTGTATGCATGTGTGTGTGTGTGTGTTTGCATGTGTTAAATCATCTTCCGGCATGTCATTTCTGTGTTTTCTGTTAACTATTTTATCTTTGTAAGTTTTTTGTTTGTCAATACTTTCTGTTTATTGTTATTATTATTATTATTATTATTATTATTTATGTTTATTTTATTATTATTATAACAAATTATATTATTACTATTATTTTACTTTTTGTTAATTTTTGTTAAATTTTTTTTCCAAATTCTCAAAGAGACCGATTATGTTTTACGGTGATGATTTTGAGGTAAATAAAAGCGACCCTGATAATGATGATGACGATTGTTTTGTTGGTGATAATGACGATGACGACGAGGACGATGATGATGAAGTTGTTGGTGAGGATGATGGTGTTGTTGTTGTTGTTGTAAGAGAAAGATGAAAAAAAGAAAGAAAGAAAGAGAGAGAGAGAGAGAAAAAAAAAGAGAAAGAGAGAGGGAAAGAGATAGTTTGTGTGTGTGTGTGTGTGTGTGTGTTTGTGTGTCTGTCTGTCTGTATGTGTGCGTGTGCGCGTGCATGTGTGTTTGCTTATGTATGTTGTTTCCTATTCCAGTTACTTTTAGTTCAATTTTTATTAATATCTTTCGAGATCTATTTATTTGGTTTATTTGTTTAATTATTTAATTAATTATTTGGTTTATTTGTTTAATTATTTATTTAATTATTCGGTTTATTTGTTTATTAATTCATTTTTTTATGATTTCAGTTAAATGTTTTCTTTAACCCGGTTTGTTAGCTTACGATTCTTTCCTTAATGATATTTCTATCATTTTAGTTTAACATCTTCGGTGTCTCTTCTTTCGATACAATCATTCAATTTAATTAATCTAATTTAATTTTATTCAATACAATCATTCAATTTAATTAATCTAATTTAATTTAATTAATTTAATCGAGAAACTAATTTATTAATTATTTTGTTTATTTATTTATAACAAAATTAATTTAATCGTTTATTTTTAAAAATCATCCGAATTAAATAAACTAACTCGTTTCTCGCATCATTTTTATCGTTATTCTAATTGTGATGAACTGTTTTGATGGTCGCTATCTTCACCATCACCATCATCATCATCATCATCATCATCATCATCACTGCCATTGTCACAATCATCATCACCACCATCATCATCATCACCACCACCATCATCATCATCATCACTGTCATTGTCACCATCACCATCATCATTACCATCATCATCATCACCACCATAATCATCATCATCACCACTATCACCAGCCCCACAAATCTTCACCACTGATGAGTATAAGTTTCTTTCGTCTCTTCCGAGTTATGCGTCTGATCAAGCTACTAAGTCGTGGGGAGGGCATAAGAACTCTATTGTGGACATTCATCAAATCATTTCAGGTGAGTGATGGTGATGATGATGGTGGTGATGGTTGCGATGGTGATGATGCTGGTAGCTGTGGTGATGATGACGTTGTGGTTGCTGTTTGTTGTTGTTGTTTTTTGTTGTTGTTGTCGTTGTTGTTGTTGTTTTTGTTATTGTTGTTTTTGTTTTTGTTGTTGTTGCTGTTGTTGTTGCTAGAGATGAAGATGACGATGAGGATGGTTGTGGTGGTGGTGGTTGTAGTGATAATGATGTTGGTGTTGTTGTTGTTATTGTTGTTTTTGTTGTGGTTGTTGTTGCTGTTAGAGATGAAGATGACGATGAGGATGGTTGTGGTGATGGTGGTTGTGGTGATGATGACGTTGTTGTTGGTGGTGATGATGATGATGATGATGATGTTGATCGTCGAACAGGCCTTGCCCTATGTTGCTCTGCTGATCGTCATGCTCTTCTTCATATATGCAGTCATCGGAATGCAGGTTATGACGATCGTGAAGCTACTGCTGCTACTGCTGCTGCGGCTGCTGATTATGATGATGATGATGGCAATGATGATGATGATGGTGGTGGTGATGGTGGTACTGCTAATGATGATGGCGATGGTGATGATAATGATGATGATGATGACGATAAATATATTATCGGCCGGTTACTATCGGCCGGATAATAACGATAACTTTCATCTTCATCATCCTCATCATCATCGTCAACATCATCATTATCATCTTTATCGTGATCATCATCATCATCGTCGTCATCATCGTCATCATCATATTCACCAGGTTTTCGGCAAAATAGTCCTAAACGAAGAGACATCCATCCATAGGAACAACAACTTTCAGACATTCCCGCAGGCCGTCATGGTTCTCTTCAGGTTATTATTATTATTATCATTATCATTGTCATTATTTTATTATTATTATTATTATTATATTATATTATAATTATAATAATTATTATTATTATCATTGAAGATTACGTCTATTATATTTACTATATTTTATCTATTTTATCAGGTTATTATTGTTATTATTAATATTATATTATTATATTATTATTATATTATAATTATTATTATTATTATTATCATTAATATTGAAGATTAGGTTTATTATATTTGCTATATTTTATCTACCATTCAGCTATCGCCCATCGTCCCAATTGCATTTTACGATTTTGCATTTTTTTGATCGTACAATAATAAAAGAGCTTCCATTTGCTATTATCACCATAACGATCGTTACTGGTAGCAGTGGTAGTAGCAGCAGCAGCTGCAATAGTAGTAGTGGCAGCAGCAGTAGTTGTAGTGGCTACAGTAGCAGCAGCAGCATTTATCTTTAAATGTTTTAAATCTTTAGGTCTGCGACTGGCGAAGCCTGGCAAGAAATCATGATGTCTTGTATAAACTCTGAGACGGTCCTCTGCGATCCTCTGTCAGACGAAAAGGGACGCTGTGGTTCAATCATTGCCTTTCCTTACTTTATATCATTCTATATTCTCTGCTCGTTCTTGGTTAGTCGGTTGGTCAGTGGGTTTTTTTTATACGAATTTAAATGTAATTACTTCGAATTATTAATTTAATAAATGCTATTTACGAATTTAAATGTAATTACTTTGAATTATTAATTCAATAAATGATATTTATTGATCTGGTTGAATTTCAAAATTTCAGATCATCAATCTATTTGTGGCTGTTATAATGGACAATTTTGATTATTTGACTAGAGATTGGTCGATTCTTGGACCGCACCACCTCGATGAGTTTGTCAGGCAGTGGTCTGAATATGACCCAGAAGCCAAGTTAGTTGATTGGCTGGTCAGTCAATTGATTGATTGGTTGATTGGTCAGTTGGTTGATTGGTTGATTGGTCAGTTAGTTGGTTGATTGGTTGGTCAGTTAATGTCGGTTGATTGATTAGTTGATTTAATGGTCAGTTAGTTGGTTGATTGGTTGGTCAGTTAGTGTTGGTTGATTGATTGGTTGATTGATTGATTGGCCAGTTAATTGATTGACTAATTGTTTGATTGATTGATCAGTTATTTATTTAACCATTCACTAACTAACATAATTTATTCAAACTCCAATCAATCAAATCCCAGCGGGCGCATAAAACATCTAGACGTGGTTACTCTACTGAGAAAAATATCCCCGCCTCTGGGCTTCGGCAAGCTTTGTCCCCACAGAGTGGCTTGTAAGGTGGGCGGAGCTAAAAATAATAATAATATAATTAATAATAATAAAAATTGATGTTTCAAATCCGATTGAGAAATGTTTATATTCAGCAAAGTATTGCAAACAAAGTCACCATGAGAACTAAGAGAACTTTTCAAATTGTTAGACCACCTAACTATCATCATCATCACCATCATCATCGTCACCATCATCGTCACCATCATCGTCACCACCATCCTCATCGTCGTCATCATTGCCACCACCACCAACCAACCGACCAATCAGAGATTAGTTACCATGAACATGCCCTTGAACTCTGATGGCACGGTCATGTTCAACGCAACCCTCTTTGCTCTTGTCAGGACATCTCTGCGAATTAAGACCGAGGGTAATTTGAATAATTTATGTTAATTAGCACCCTTATTTATGTTAATTATTCATTTTATGTTAACTAGGTCGTGAGTTATAGATAATTTAATATATATGTTGTTATTTTAACATGTAGTAATTTACTTGAACAAAAACAAAAACCAAACATTATTATCATCCTCTTCTTCTTCGTCATCATCACCTCCATCGTCATCATCATCCTCACCGCCACCACCATCATCATCACTATCATCACCAACATCATCATCACTATCATCACCAACATCATCATCACTATCATCACCAACATCATCATCGTTATCATCACCCAGGCAATATTGACCAAGCGAATGAGGAGTTGAGGGCGGTGATCAAGAAGATTTGGAAACGAACGAGTAACAAGCTACTAGACCAAGTGGTCCCGCCAGCCGGAAGTTAGTACCTTCAGTAGAAGTAATGCTAGTAATTAGAAACAACCGTAATAGTACTAACAGTAGTGCGGCCCGCTAGCGTAGTGGCTAAGAGCGCCGGGTGGTTCTACATCGCAGTGACCTGTTTCAAATGCGCGTAGATGTGTGTGTGTGTGTGTGTATGTGTGTGTGTGTGTGTGTGTGTGTGTGTGTTTGTGTGTGTGTGTGTGTGTGTGTGTGTGTGTAAAAAACGCCAGTATTATTAAGTGTAAGTGTTAATGTGAGACGACTTGACAGCCTAACGGTTGACGACAAACACATTTGAGAGAGAATTGTCTCCTGTTACTTACAATGACAAGTACAAGCTTTAATCAGAATTTTAGATTATAACATTTAGCTATAATTACCAATAGTCAACTATAAAAATCAATAATTAAATTGTTATAATTTGCTATAATTAACTATAATTAACTATAATTAGCGGTAATTATGATTTCAGGTGATGACGACATAACGGTCGGGAAGTTCTATGCAACATTTTTGATACAAGATTACTTCAGAAGGTTTAAGAAACGCAAGGAGCAGATGCTGAAAATGAACCAACTAGGGCACCACCATACCGAAGCTCTGCAAGTAATTACGGGAAAAAAATGAATGAATAAATGAACGAATGAATTATTGAATGAATGAATGATCATCCATCCATTCATTCATTCATTCATTTTTTCATTTATTCATTCATTCATTCATTCATTCAGGCTGGTCTGAGAGCTGTGCATGATCTGGGCCCGGAGCTAAGGCGAGCCATTTCCGGTAATTTGGAGGGTGATGATGATAATGATGACGTTCTGATGAGAAGAAAGGAAGAAGAACCTTCTCATAGAGTGAGTGAATGAACGAACGAACGAATGAATGAATGAATGAACGAATAAATGAATGAATAAGTAGAAGAGTGAATGATAGATAAATGGATAGGTAGATAAATAAGCAGATTAATGGAAAAGTGAGTAACTCAAAATATACATCATCATTTTTAATACCACATATTCAGAGGGACCATAGTTTATTTGGCACTGTCCTCTCAGCACTAAACAAAAGCTCCATGCTACTATCAAATAGTTTAAACATCAACAACAACAGCAACAACAACAACAGCAATAGCAACAACAAAAGCAGTAATTTCAGCATTTTCAGGAGCCATTCAATCACAGTGCCTTGTCGGGAGCAGCAACTTCTTCTACCATCGTCGCCCCCAGAGCCACTACAACAACCACAACAACAATCGTTACTAACGGTGCCAACTGCAGCTACTACACTTGCTACACCACAGCAACAGCAGCAGCACCAACGACATCATCATCAGCATCATCAGTTGAGTTTGTCGACGGCGCTCTTTCAGCAGCCAACTGCTAAGAGGAATTCGCTCCACCAGAATTCTATAAACGTTCGCGATCTCTTTTCGAAGCCACCGCAACTAACCGTCGACTACTACAGCGACAGTAACGACGACGACGACCACAACAACCACAACAATGACGTCATTTCCGACTCTGACGACAAGATCGACGATGACGCCACTCGTCGTAATCGCTATTGCCGACAGCGTAGTTACGACGATAAAGATGACGTCATCGTTGATAACATGATGATGAGGAGGTACTATCAGCAGCAGCAGCAGCATTCGCCGCTTCTTACGACGTCAACATCGCTAGCTGTCGCCCCGATGTTGGTTGCTTGCAATCCAAGTTTGGCCGTATATTCGGAGATTCATAAGAGGAGAAGGTTCGTCGGTTGATCGTTTGGTTGTGTGGTTGGTTGTGTGGCTGGTTCATTGGATAATTGGATGATTGATTTGTTGGATAGTTAATTGGTTGGTTGGATAATTGGTTGATTGATTTGTTGGATAGTTAATTGGTTGGTTGGATAATTGGTTGATTGATTGGTTGATTGGTTGGACGGTTGTCTGGATGGTTGGCCGGTAGGTTGGTCAGTTGATTTGTTTCTTAAATGAAGAAGCTTAGATATATTTTGATTGGATATGACCATTTCAATTGGGTATACCGTTTCGATGGATATTTCAATTGCCATCATCCTACTCGTCAACAACTTCAACCCAAGTTTATTTTTTTCCTCTTCATCATTTTCATCGTCAGTCCATCAATAAAAGAAGAGACGAACGAAGACGACAACTCCGATGCTAGTCATGGTAATGATCTCAAAAAGCCCCCAGACGCTAAAAATAACCACAACCTTCATGATAATGATACCGTTGATGAAAGTAACAACAACAACAACAACAACAACAATAATAATAATAATAATAATAATAATGATAATGAGGATGGCGAGAAGAAACATAAAACGCTATCAAAATCGTCGTCTTCATCATCGTTGTTGTCGTTTAGAAGCTCCCAACCGTACGCTCGTCCGCTGAAACTAGATTCATCGCACTGCAGAACCTTGTTGCAGAAACAAATTCTGGCGAATTCTCAACAAGACATTCAACAGCAACATCAACAACAACAACTGTTACTACTACCACCACAAAAGCAGCAGCAGCAGCCACAGCAACCACAAATACTACTTCCACAGCAGCAACTCTTACAGCAGCAATCGCAGAAGTTCATTGCCCACTCACAACAGAATTTACAATCTCTAAATCTATTTGAACCATTGGCGACAGTCTCGCAACCACAAGTGAGGTCGCTATCGTGGCAAGGCGACCGTCTAACGCCGATGTTACCACAGTTTATAGAGGAGCAGCAGCAGCAGTTGCAGCAGCAGCAGTTGCAGCAGCAGCAGTTGCAGCAACATCAGTCGCAACAACTGCCACAACCACAGGAGCAAATTTTATTATCATCACCGTTATCTCAGGAATTTTTGCAACAACAACAACAGCAACAACAGCAACAACAACATCAACAACAACAGCAACAGCAACAACAACAGCAACAACAACAGCAACAACAACAACAACAACAACAACAACTTGGTGAATCTATTTTACATGACGATGTTTGCAGACAAACTTCGTATGACAAGTCTGTCTTTTGAAAAATTCATTCGATCAATACGTTTTTTCATCCATTCATTATTCTTTATTCCTTCAATTTATTTTGTATTTTTATTTGTTCTATTTGCTTACACTCATTCATTCAATAGTTCTATTCTTTCATTCATTCGTTTTCATTTCCAATTTACATTCAATCTATCAGTCCCTTTTTAATCAATGAACCAATCAGTCAATCAATCAATCAATCAATCAATCAATCAATCAATCAATCAATCAATCAATCAATCAATCAATCAATCAATCAATCAATCAATCAATCAATCAATCAATCGATCGATCGATCGATCGATCAATC